TGGATTATTATTCATTAATATTAGGTTTTATTATCAAATTTGATTATTCTTCATTAATATTAGGTTTTATTATCAAATTTGATTATTCTTCATTAAATTGGATTATTCATTAAATTGGATTATTATCAAATTGTATTATTATTCATCACCATGTTTTATATTAGGATTATTTTTAATTATCAAATTGGATTATTCTTCATTAATATTAGGTTTTATTATCAAATTTGATTATTCTTCATTAAATTGGATTATTCATTAAATTGGATTATTATCAAATTGGATTATTATTCATCACCATGTTTTATATTAGGATTATTTTTAATTATCAAATTGGATTATTCTGCATTAATATTAGGTTTTATTATCAAATTTGATTATTCTTCATTAAATTGGATTATTCATTAAATTGGATTATTATCAAATTGGATTATTATTCATCACCATGTTTTATATTAGGATTATTTTTAATTATCAAATTGGATTATTCTGCATTAATATTAGGTTTTATTATCAAATTTGATTATTCTTCATTAAATTGGATTATTATCAAATTGGATTATTATTCATCACCTTGTTTTATATTAGGATTATTTTTAATTATCAAATTGGATTATTCTTCATTAATATTAGGTTTTATTATCAAATTGGATTATTCATTAAATTGGATTATTATCAAATTGGATTATTCATTATATTGGATTATTATCAAATTGGATTATTATTCAGTAATATTAGGTTTTATTATTCCATATTATTTGTATAATTACTTAAATTTTTACAATCATTTTCATTTTCATTACTTCGTATTTAATTCTTCTGTAGAATAACTTTATTATTTAGGTTCTCTTATTTTATCAAAAAATAATTGTCTAATTTTCATGAAAAATTAATATAGGTACATTTAAGATGTCAAGTGGAGTTACTAAACGTGATCCAGCTTGGGAACATGGAGACCCAATAGACGGAAACAAACATGGCACAATTTGCAAATATTGTGGTCGGGTAATGAAGAGTGGCGGAGTGACACGACTTAAGTACCATCTTAGTGGATTAGATCCAGCAAAAAATGTCCAACGATGCGATAATGTCCCCCCAGAAGTGAAGGCATTCATCAGCACATTATTAAAAAATAAAAAACAGCAGAAGGAAAAGATAACACATGGAATGGAAAATATTCGAGCTGGGCTACGAGGAGAAGTCATTGGCCAAGCGGTTGACAGTGATGATGATGACGATGAGGACGAATGTGATGATGACATGGGACCTGAAGAACGACGCAGTTTGAAACAAGCATTACGTGCCTCCAAACAGTCAGCATGGGAAAGAGAACACCTTCATAAAATTCCTAATAGGGGACAAGGTTCTGGGACAAGTGGTGGTGCACAAATGAGACGGGGAGGCAGTCTTAGAGAATCACAACCAACATCACCAATAGCCCCAAGTTTATATAAGTCATCCAACGCACGTCAAAAGAGTGTTTGGAGTTATTTCAAGGGAGGTAATGTGAAGGAGGGAATGGGGCGTCTAATTAGCAAGTTCTTTATCTATGAAAATGTCCCTGCTGAGAAAGCATCATCACATCATTTCAAAAATATGGTAGTGGGATGTCAACAGGCCGGTGTTGGAGTACAACCTCCCACTCCCTATGAGATAAGAAACAAATATTTGGATATGGAGTATAAAGACATTGGCGAGTATGTTAACAAGTTGAGGTCAAAGTGGGAAACTAATGGTTGCACAATCATGTGTGACGGATGGACTGGGCCGACCAGATTGTCTATCATCAACTTCATGGTATACTCCAAGGGAAAGACAATTTTTTTGAAGTCTGTTGATGCTTCAGACCATATAAAGAACTACAAGTATATTTACAAATTATTGAGGGATGTAATCATGGAGGTGGGAGAGCATAATGTTGTCCAAGTCGTGACCGACAACGGTTCTGCATTTGTCAAAGCTGGAAAAAAGTTAATGAAGCATCATAATGTGTTTTGGACATCATGTGCAGCACATTGTATTGATCTCATGTTTGAGGCAATGGGGAAGAGAGAGAATGTTGCTACTGTGGTCAAAAGAGCTAGAACGATCACAAATTATATTTACAATCACGGTTGGTTATTGGCAAAGATGCGTGAATTTTGCAAAGGAGAAATCATTCGTCCAGCTACCACTCGATTCGCCACCAACTATATTGCATTAGACAGCCTACTGAAGAAGAAAGCAGGGTTGAAGCAACTATTCACTAGTGACGATTGGGCCAACCACAATTTCAGCCGCTCAAATACAGGTCGTATGGTGGAAAGTATAGTGCTTGATCATGCTTTCTGGACTCAATCAGAACATGTGTGCCAACTGTTTGAACCTCTTTACAAAATTTTACGGATCGTTGACACAGAAGTGTATCCTACCATGGGGGCAGTATATGAGTTGATGCGTGTAGTGAAGGATGAATTGGAAAGAAAACATGGTGCAAGGTGGGTCATCAAGATAATTGAAGATCGATGGTATAAAACATTGTACCACGATTTGCATGCAGCAGGTATAAATTATGTCATAATTTGCAATTCATTTCTTTAGTTGCATAAGTTTTATTTCTCTTATTAGAGTATGTGTTTCTTTGAACAGCCTATTATTTAAATCCTCGATACCAATACAGACCCGGTGTTGGAGATGATGGTACCCTTATACGTGCTGTACATAATGTATACTCTAAATTAGACCCTGCATCACCAGCAGTTGGCCAATTTGGAAATGAGGTACACAATTACTTAAATTATAATAATTACTTAAATTATAATATTAATAATTACTTTGTTGGATTAAACTAACATGATTTATTGAATTCAGCTAACATGGTTTAAAGATGCAAGAAGAACTTTTGGAGAACCAACATCAATTGCTGCTCGAACAACAATGTCTCCTAGTGAGTGTAAACATATTTCACTATAAGTTTATAATAGAATTTGTTCGAGTTATTAGGCTTATCAACATTGTTTTTCATTGTAGCTGAATGGTGGATCATGTATGGGACCGATGCACCAACTGTGAGAAAGTTAGCAATAAAAGTATTATCACAAACAGCTTCCTCATCTGCTTGTGAAAGAAATTGGAGCACATTTGCACTGATACACACAAAGCAAAGAAATAGGTTGGCGCATAGTAGGTTGGAAAAATTAGTTTATTGCTACTACAACATGAAGCTTCAAATTCGAGATAAGGAAGCTGAAATAGATCATGTCGACCGTGGTGACCCACTAGATGTGTTTGATATTGTTGGTGAAGATGATGATACGGAGGGTAACCAACTTTTTCAATGGATTAGACCTCTTCATTTAGATGATGATGAAGGCAACCCAGCTCCCAGAGTTGCTGAAGAAGCACGTAATGAAGGGATAAATGTAGAAAGAGTATTAGAGGAGGAGGTGGGATCTAGTAGCGCTGACTCTTTGGATGAACTTTTCCTCCCAAGACCAAGAAACACTGGAATTCCACATTCTTCCAATCCTACACAACCACAACATCGTGCTGATACTAATGATAGCTCTAGTACAAGATCAGGAGACTCACCTACCACCGGAGGTGGGAATGATGAAGGACATAGTGGAGCTGGAGGTAGTGGAGCTGGAGGTAGTGGTGGTGGATATGGAAACTATTATGGACCACCACTTCCCGAATATATGAGCCCCTTCACTGGTGAGGCAAACTTCACGCATGCAACACAGGATGATGACCATGGCAGTAGGCGGGCAGGACCAGGAATTGGTGCCATAGGGAAGGACTATACTCGCAGAGAAAGAGGCAAGGGGATTTTGTCAAGTCAAGAAGATGACTCGTTATCTAGAACTTCAGACTCTGTTAGATTGGGAAGTAGTAACTATGGTTATACTCATAACCAACCATTTCCCTACCCTTCATATCCCTACCCTTCATATCCCATTCCTGTTGGGATGGAATCGAGCGACTCATGGAAACAATCCCAGCCTCAATCTTCAAATGATTTTTCTTATGGACAACCTCAACCAATCTCGGATCCATATGGGTGGCATGTTAACAATTACATGCAAAACTATTTTGGGGATTTATCATTTGATAACTACTCTTCACAATACACTCATTCTACACATAGAGATGATGAAGATAGTGAAAAATTTGAACCTCATAGGAACTCTATGTGGTACTAAAGTGTAAAATATTGTACTAATTCATTATATATAAATGATTATGGTGTGTTTAGACTTCTTTCATTAATTACTACATATTTTCTACACTCATAATGTTTGTCAGATCGCTATATAATCAACTTGATAATGTTAAATCCATCATGCAATGCATTTCCTTCCAATTTTTTGTGATAAACTAATAGATAATTGACTAAATAAACATCCTACAAAGTTTCAATAAAAATTTCCAAGTTTTTCTTACAATTTCCGTGGTTTCCATGTAATTTTTATCGATATCGATATTTTACCGATATTTCCATCGATATTTCCGTGTTTTCGGATTGCCGATATTTCCGATATTACCGATATTTAATACCTTGGTCACGGTCAACTTTTTATACCTTTTATAATTGGTCTGTAGTCTTGGTCTTCTTAAAAAAACATGGCACAAGAATCAAAAGTCAACCAATCAAATTGTCAATATAGAGACGTACAATTTCAAAATAGAAGACTTCCATATACAAATCACGACTATGTACAAATCTCAAAAAAGAAATATTTATTTTTGGGTTCTTCTCAATTCACTACTCTCAAATAGCGTAGTTTTCAAACTTTCATATATCACGTTTTTTTTTTCTTAAGATATTAATTAGGAGATTGGGATGATAAGGTAAGTATCTTTGATTGGAGAAATTATTAGATGGTACAGCATTACCACCTGGCACTGACAGCTGGTAGTACCCACCAATAAATGCATGACATGTGGCAAGTTAATTATTAAATAAAAATTAATGGCTGGATTTTACAAGAACCTAACGCCGTTAGGTCTCTGCCAAAAAACTAATGTCTGCCTCTTCTCCTACCCCACGCCTTCTCCTCCTTTTCCGCCGCAATTGATTCCTCGTATCCCACCTCCTCCTTTTTCGCCAAAACCAAAAGCTTTTGTTGCGCTCCCAATCCAATCCCTCCTTTCTCAAGAAAATGAAAGCTCTGCACCGTTAAAAATAAAAAAAATAAAAAAAACCTCATGCATGTTTACTTGAATCAAAACCCAGAAATCTCATGCTACAGGTACTGGAAATTTTTGCTTGAATCTTACTGCAATTTGGTATTTTTTTTCTTGAATATGACTGCGAAAACCAAAAATATGTGTTTCTGTTATTATTTTCTTCTTAAAGAAAAGAAGGACAAGAGACAAAATCTTATGAATTGCCAATTTGTTTAACTAAACCCATAAAGTGTCTGTGTTCTTACTAATTCATTGTATTTGATTAAGTGGGATTTTGGTATGTACCATGAATTAAAAGAATGTCTATCAAGATCTGATGAAACTCCAGGCAATGCCCTATGTCCTTTGGGTATAATGCCCATGGATTAAAAGAGAACTTCTATGGGATTTTTTTTCATTTGATTAAGCTTTTCTCTCTACTGTTTTTTTTTTTGTTTGGGGGGGGGGGGGGAGGTCTCAGATTGACAGCTTGAATTGGATTTTGGGTTGCTTCAGATTACTACTTTCAGCTATAGCTACCGTTCATTTTGGGTTAGATGTATAGAATTGGATTTGTTGTATCAAATCCTACAATTTTGTAGTGACATACAAAGTGTTAATAGGCTTTTGCTATTGTAAGTACAAGTGAGCATGTGGTTGTAAATTGTAATGAGACAAAATGGTATCTTATACAACTCAATGTATGGCTGACATGATTTCTTATGCCTTGGCGCTTTGCTCCTTATATGCTTGATTCACTATGATATATAGCATGACAGTACATTACTCAAATGACATGCGCACTCTATCTTAAAACGAGAAAGATATGGAAAAAAATTAAGAGCAAAGTTATTGTTTCCAGTTACTGTAATCTCAATGCTTCCTTCCCTCCAAAATAACAAAGTTGTCTAACAAATATTCACCACAGTATACATCCGGTTCAAAATCAAAATAAGTAAAGGCTTCTAATTAAAAAAAAAAAAAAGATTTAAAGGTTTCCAACCCAAAACATATCATCTTCCACCTGCACCCAAAAATAATAAATCAAGTTTAGTAGTGAAAAACAAGAAAAATCTTAGGGTAACTTAAAAGCATTTAAAAGTGATTTACTCTTAATGTATTGTAGAAATTACTCCTCTGGATTATGTTGTCGCCCATAAACATATGGATGTGAGTCCTGCATTACATATGGCTTCATATTAACTAAATGCTAAAAAAACAAATATGCCTTGTGTGATAAACAAATCAAACCTGGCTGAGATGAGGATTTAGTCCAAAGGGTTCGTGTGCGATAAAACTTGAGGATGAATTCTGCCACATGTATATAACAAATGTATAAAACAAACAAGAATTGCCATGTGTATTCATAAATTCCGCCTTCTCAAAGTAAATCAATCAATACCTGACTCGCCATAAATTGACTATCTTGTAGCATAGTTGTAAATGAAAAACTAGGTTGGATTACTTGGTTATATGGAGGCAATGCATGATTGTTTGTTGTTAACAAGCTAACAGCTGGGAAGACCTGTGTAACATTTATAAGATGATATGCAATTAGTCGAATTTAGAGAAGATAAGAGCATTCAAGGTCTTAAAACATACATCACTGTAAACTAACAAATTAGTTTACTTGGTTTGATGGAGGCAATGCATGACTATTTTTTGTTAACAAGCTCATAGTTGGGTAAACTTGCGTAACATTTGTACTAGTGGGTACACTGAGTTGTTGAAGAAAATTTGAATCATATGGTGTTGAACTATGTGAAGGGCCTATATTGCTTGGCTTCTTGGTTTTCCCTACAAAACAAATTTAAAATTTTTAAGTAAAAAAGAATATTAGAATTACATCTAATAGTCAATAAAAATATAAAATTTTACTTACCAGATGAGACAGTATCTTTAGATGCCTTTTTTTTTCGTTTCTCCGTAGCACTTTTTAATCTGGCATTGCTTACTCATTTCGGCCTTACCAACGGAGGATTCAATATTGGTGGCTCATCAACTGAGCAACCATTTGCATTACAATCATCATCATTGTTATCATTGCTCTCTTTATTAACTTCACCCTTTGACTTGATCATATCCTTTTCAATCAATTCCTCCATCTCTCCCAATTTTTTCATGGCAACTCTAGTAGCACTTTCGGACTCTGCTCCCTTACTCAATATATTATAAGCCATTCGCATCAAAGCATTTCGACGCAATGTAACAGATGGTTCACCTTTTACCTGCAATAATTGACTATGCTCATTTGCATGCAATCCTTTCTTTGCATCTTTTGTCCAACGCTTCAATATATGTTGTGAAGGTATTTCAGTCCAAGATTTGACGTTTAGTACCCTTAGAGCATGACGACACAACAAACCCATGGACTCATACATTTTGCAGCTACAAGAAACCGTGCCATCTGATGAGTTAAGTTGGACAAGGTAAACTCTTGTGTGACCCTCCTCATTAAGTTCAAAAGAGTGTATTGTACCACAACTCTCATATTCATCCATTGTCACTGCTAAGCTATTCAAAAACTCTTTTTCAAATATTTTAAACATTTTCCTAGTGTAGACAGTAGCAGCATGCTTCAAAATTCCACTCCTTTGGGCAACTCTAGAAGGGAGACCCTGATTGCAACGATAAGACTCTTCTGATTCACTTGTACGCATTTTTGCTGCTTGTTTATCATAATGATGCACAAATTCAATAAGTCTCATTGTCTTGGTAGAAATTTGGTGGAAAACATTATTCGTGCTCTCACTTCTTTGTGAAGATTGTATCCGACATGTGAAAGTATCATGGCTAAATGACGGACACCATTTGGCACGAAGCGCATACAACATATTCATCCGTGAGCACATCTGTGAGCACCCTGTAAGGTTGACTTCTGCAACTAGCTCATCCCAAGTCGACTGGAATTCCAATTCCGTCTCACAATATTTTAAGACATTTATTGAACAAACGTCTAAAATCAGGGTTCGCATAGAGACTTGACATATTTTTTGCACAATTCTGAGAAATGTGCCACGAGCATAAACGATGACATACCCCAGAAAAAACTTTTTCAATGCCATTTGCCATAGCTTGACACTGATCAGTAAAAATTGTCTTTGGCTTTTGACCTCCCATTGATTCCAAAAAAGTATCAAATAACCAAGTAAACGTTTCTGTTTTCTCATCCAGTAAAAATGCACAACCAAACAATACATTTTTCCAATGGTGATTAACGCCGACAAAAGGAGCACAAATCATGTTATACCTATTGGTACGATATGTAGTATCAAATACTACAACATCCCCAAAGCACTCATAGTCAAGTCGCGACCTTCCATCTCTCCAAAAAAAGTTTGTCATTCGATTTTCTTGATCCACTTGCACAGTGTAAAAGAACATATGATCTTCTGCTTGCTTGTGCTTGAAAAGGTTGATCAAACTTTGAGCATCCCCTGCTTCAAACATGACCATTTTTTCCTTATTCACAACATTGTAGCAATCTCTTTGTGTAAAACCTACATTCTGAGACCCACCAGCTTCTTCTGCTAAATAAGAATATGTATTTGTAGTTCTTATTCCTGCAGCTGCCATGGTTTTAATCACACCCAACTGGGCTTCAGAAACTTTTCTATTTGATCTCAAAAACTGCCTCTCTTATGGTTTAGCAAGCTCGTGATTGTGTTGAGAAAAAAATTGAGCAACTTTCAACGTACCATCCGTTTGTACTGCAAATCGAATTCCAGCTTTGCATCCTGTTCTTGTCTCTAGTTTATAAGAATTGCTTGCTTCTGACGGGTCACCATCTACCTTAAAACCTTCTTTTGAACAAAGATAACAAACTTTTCTTAGTTGATTCTTTCTATTATATCTCTTTTGTCCCTTACGAACACTGAATCCAAATGTCGTAGCATAGTTGTTGTAGAGATCATAAGCTTCCTTTTCATTTAGTACAACTTTTCCCACGAAAATGTCATCGAAATTCTCCGTTCGATTCACAATGACTGGATCTTCTTCTCTATTATTTCTTCATCACTTTCTATATCAATGATTGGATCTTCTTTCTGATTATTTTCTTCATCACTATCGGTATCAATGAATACTGTACAAGAAAAATTTGTACGTGAATGAAAAATTTGTACGTAATTGAACGGTTAAATAATGGATGCAAAAATAACAGACATATGATAGCAGTCGAATAACAAGTTAAAAATGAAAAGAGAAATTGCTAAAAAGACAAACCAAATAGGCTGATAGGTTAAATATTTTACCAGTATCCATATTCTTCCTTGGTGAAGCTTTGCTTTTTTGTGAATGGTGCGGAGCCTACTTTTTGAGAATGGTCCCAGAATTTAAACAAGCTGGAATCGAAAAGGGTAAAACAAAATTCAAGCAAGAAATTGCAGTAAGATTCAAGCAAAAAATTCCAAATTGCAGTAAGATTCAAGCAACAATTTCTTGAAAATCATTGAAGGAGTTTGTTCCTTCTCTCCTTTGCATGTATATGTTATCTCTTGTCCTACTTTTCTTTATGATCAATACAAACACATACTAGCTTATCAAATTCAACACCAAATGACATATAACACTGCCTGGGTTTTACATCACTGTCTGCAGTTGCAGGTTTAAGAAGAAAATAATAACAGAAACACATATTTTTGGTTTTCGCAGTCAGATTCAAGCAAAAAATACCAAATTGCAGTAAGATTCAAGCAAAAATTTCCAGTACCTGTAGCATGAGATTTTTGGGTTTTGATTCAAGTAAACAGGGATGAGGTTCTTTTTTTTTTTTTTTTTTTTTTTTTTTTTGAACGTTGCAGAGCTTTCCTTTTCTTGAGAAAGGACAGATTCGACTGGGAGCGCAACAAAAGCTTTTGGTTTTGGCGAAAAACCAAAAGGTGGGATACGAGGAATCAGTTTTGGCGGAAAAGGAGGAGAAAGGCATCAGGAAGGAGGAGAGGCAGACAGTCATAGCAGTTTTTTGGCAGAGACCTAACGGTGTTAGGATCTTGTAAAACCCAACCATTAATTTTTATTTAATAATTAACTTGCCACATGTCATGCATTTATTGGTGGATACTACCAGCTGTCAGTGCCAGGTGGTAATACTGTACCATCTAATAATTTCTCCTTTGATTGATAGTGATCAGGATTTCTTACTTGTTTGATTTGTCCTTCAATCAGGAATATATTAAAGATAGGATTAGGTGATTAATTTTATCTTTAATGCTTTAACGAAAGTTTCATAAGGAAAGACGAAAATGATTTATTTGATATTAAAGATGACTGGTTATGGAAGGACCGCCTCATTTTTTGTAGGTTGGTCTGGCGTATTACTCTTTCCTTGTGCCTATTTCAATTTAAGAGGTTGGTTCACAGGTACATTCTTTGTAACTTCATGGTATATATCCATGGATTAGTAAGTTCCTATTTGGAAGGTTGTAACTTCTTAACCATGATAGTTTCCACTATTATTGAATTCAATTCACCGGACCAAACAGTACCCATTTTTGGAATGTCCAATGCCAAAGTCACTGAATGGGTAGCGCGTTAGCTACAACATTGCACGGGTTAATACACACAGCGTCTAGTATCCATCATTTATGACTAGGACTACTGAGGTATCTAATTATATTTGTTAGGAAAACTAATGAAAAGGGCTTGAAAACTTTGAGTTTTAATGATAAGGACAAAATAAAGGGTAAAGTGAATAGTACCAGGATTGACTTTTTAGTGTAAAAATGTGATTTTTCGTTAAAGTGAACAGTACCGGGTGCTTTTCGTTAAAGTTCTCATATTTGTTTCCTTAGCTTTCATCTCTCAATGAATGGATCTCTTTACATGTATGAATTAGAGGTCTCGTATATATCGCCAACCTGATAGCCCTAGAGCCAAGCTGCTCCATCATAGAATCCAAAACGACGCTGCTATGTGTCGTCCCTAAGCCTAAAATTGGGCTCGGCAAAAATCGAGCGCACCACCACAGCTTCTTCGTTTTCTGGTGAGAGCACCTATCTCTGACAACCTACAGTTGTCACTTAGGTCTGATATCATTGTCCCTAACGAATTTCATCGAGATTTTATCAAATTCTTATTGAACTGCCATGGGTTCTTGAACTCCGACATCAAAATTTGATTCTCCGTCACCGTACATTGGTTTCCTTTCAAACCATAGTTCGACCTAACCAACCCCAACACAGAACACGGTCGCCAAACGCAGTACCATTGGATTTGTTCTGACGTACCTCTACTTAGTGATGTTGGACTATTCTAAACCAACCCGAGACCTATGTTGGGCCTTATTGCACTCAACTTGCATCCACAATACCTTTGGGATTCTGTCTGGGTTTGTCTACATCATCTAGCCCACATGGACCAAGTTCTTCTCTTGCTGCCCTCTGTCATTTCTTAGCTCGCGCGACAAATCTAGCCAGATTCTGGACTTGGGACTATGTTTCTTTTGCTTAGCCCCTTGGTCTAGTGAACCACACCAAAACATCATTGCCTGGTTTTTTAGGTGTTTTAGGCTTGCTACCCGCTTCTTCTCTGCTAGCCCGCATCCCAGTAGTAACAATTTTTTTTTTCTTTTAGATATATTTGTTATATAGTAGGTCTTGAAGACCAACGTTAACTTATATGTTCTGTATATATTGCGTTTGCTTGTAGGAACCTATGAACTTGTAATTCATAAAAATTCAAACCCAACATTTCGAATAGTACCATGAAAACCCGAAGTTTTTCTTGAAAATTAAAACCAAAACATGTCTAATAGAACCTGAATATCCTATCCATTTGTGTATGGTTGATTTTTTTCTCCTTTGCGTTAACCATAATCTTGTTCCCTTTTGTGACAATGACATGACAAATTTGAACAAACTCGACTTTACTGCTTTGGAAGTCTCTAACTACCTTAAGTGGGTCCAAAATGTAAAACACCACCTCATTGGAAAGAGTCTTAAGGCTATCATTGCAGCTAAGAAGGATATTTTGGTTTGCGAAGTTGACAAAGCAACTACCATGATATTCATGCGAAGGCATATGCATGACGAACTACAGATCAAGTACCTCGCTAAGAAGGAACCACAAGCTTTGTGGATCACTTTGGAAGATCACTTTGATCATTCAAGAGATATATTCTCGCCTGAAGCAAGACACGATTGGCAGTATTTACGGTTCCAGGACTTTAAGTATGTGAACGAATACAACTCTGAAGTTTTTTTAATCTAATCACTTCTGAAGTTCTAAAAAGAGGACTCTATTGAATAGGATCTCCTGGAGAAGACCTATTCAACCTTCTATGCCCCTAACATTGTCCTGCAGTAACAATATAAGGCACATAAGTTTTCTAAAGTTTCAGATTTGATCTCTGTCTTATTACTTGCTCAAAAGCAAAACCAGTTGTTAATGAAAAGTCATAAAGCTAAACCTAATAGCTTCATCATTGTACCTAAAGCATATGCCAATAAAAATCGAGGCCCAAATTGCAGATCTAGGCATGTTCTACATGACCAGAAGACGAAGCCCAAGACCAATAGAGTTATGGCCCATCCAAGGGAGGAAACAAAGCCTCAAAGCACGACAACCTTGCTTTCAAAGCCTCAAACTTCAAGAACGAAGACAAATCACCTTAAACCATATAAGTGAATATATGTTACCGATGTGGTTTGAAGGATTATTGATCTTGGGTTTATCGAGCTTCCACTAAGTTGTAGCTGAGTATCATTCACGCCGCCAAAAGTTTGAGACAAACTTTGCTCCAATAGAGAAACCTAAAGATCCTAAGATATAGGTTTCTAATTTTCTAGAGGCATCTGCTCCAAAAGAATAATAGAATTTTTGGACATGGGCCAATTTTGGCCAAATTCCCCCTGTAGGTTGAATTCCCTATGTTGGCCCCTTATTTATTGGTTTAAGTTTTGAACAATTTCTTTTATTTGGAATATTTGTTTGGTGATTGTTTAATTTATTAATATTGCATTTAATGGATATTATTTCCTAGATGATTAACTAAATGAACAAACATTTTAAATTTCTTATACTTGTAACCAATTCAATTAATTTTTTTTAAGGTATGTTGTGGGAAGTTAGTTGTTTGGCAGATAGTACAAGCACACACACCATTTTGCGTGAAAAACATATGTATCTTTACTAACTTCATACCTAAAATATCACCTCTGATAATCTTTTTAGTCCATCTAACCTAATTAAGTGGTACGGCACTACTCGTATATGTTGTCAATTGGTACTGCATTAACCAATAAAGAGGCTCTTCATTTACCACTTTCTAGAAGAACGTTGTTGAGCTTTAAAGACATTTGGGATAATAATTATCACTTTAAAACCTTTACAGAAAATGGAGTTCAATTCCTTTGCATAACTTCCTATGAATATGGCCAGAAGCGCATCTAGAGAAGATGGAGCACATTCCGAATGGTTTGTACATTACAACCATTTGCCTCATTGAAAGCCACTATTTGGTCGGCCCTGATTTTGGGCTTGTATTGGAAAACTTTGGTTCGACATGATCATCTGGGAGACCCTAGTCGAGCTGTGAAATGCTATATCCTCAAAACTTCAACCGGGCATCCCCTAAC